TCCACCAATTTTGAATGATAGTCAAATGTTTATTAGAGGGGGAAACCAAATGAGCTTGCCAATTAACTTTGTAGAAGTGACATTTAAATTACAGAGAGCCGGGGTTATATAGAAAATAACCCCACCACTTCTGCATCCTAACCCTATGATAACATGGTTTCCATTTCCCATTCAGAATCCAACCCCGCCCTTCTCCTCTCCTTGGTCTTCTCTACCAAAGTCCTATCTTAAAAGAGTCGTTCACTAAAGCACTTCTTCCGATATCTGTCTGCTTTTAAGCTTGGCCCATGCTGGGTATAGCTCTTGAAGTAAGCTTTAGGGGGAAAAATTATTTTAAAGTGAGCGGGGCGGTTGCCACAGCAACCCACCCTGAGAGATACCAAGGCTATAGATTGATCTACCCCACAAGATGATTCAACAATACTGTATTTGTTCTTTAGCCATTCAAAATATTCTTTCCATCCATATTGCTTTTATAATTCCACATAACATATAAATTCCCAATATCTCACTATAATACGATTGAGATTCCAGGAGGGTAATTTAAATATTTCATAATCCACAGGGGAGAATGAAAATGTATATAATTTTTTGTGAAATGAATTAATTATAAAATATATTTTCAAAGGCAGGTGATGACAGGTGACACATGAATATTAAATACAGTGGCATGCCATTACTAAAATGTTATAATGTACAATACATAGTGATTAGAGTAGTGATTTTGTCACTGGTATACCTTTTAGTACACACAACTGTAGCATTTATCTTCAGCCCTAAATCAAAAAAGAAAGAGAGCAATAAATAGAGCTTTTTGTAGGACTAAATGATAGACTTTTTTAAAAAAAGTAACACTCACCACATACACCTTCTTTATTCTGAAAATCATCCGCCTTTGGTGCTTTACCTAATCTGTTCCATAGTAGTTTCTTCACAGTTTACAACTCTTAGTCGGCACCTTGAATGTTTAAAAGCACAACAGTAAGACAGAATTAAAATGTTAGAGAAGCAAATAATATGAAAGCCCTTGAAAATAGCATACCCTCCAAAGCTTTAGGCAAATAACTGATATTACTTAGGAGCTATATATTTGGAAGCACCATTTAAAAACAATCAAGCCTTTTAAGTGAATCCCATTTGAATTCTGTCTTGGAGATGTAGATTTATCGTAATAATGAGCCACACCAAGTCTGGAATGCCAGACTGCAATAAATGTAAACATATGAGATACTTTATACTTGCTGTAATTGTTAAACAGATTATTTCAGGCTCAGTAAATATACATATAATTTTTAACTGCCATTTTGTGCTCAGCGCACACTTTACAGATACTTCGTGGTTAATACAATATGCCAGAAGGACCAAAGTGTCACTGTAGGTAGCAAATAGGACATTAAAAAGATGCCCTCAGTCTGTGTGGTACTCTTGGACCAGTGCAACTTGTTGCTAAATTGTTGAATTAGCAGCAAAACAAGTTGGCCAATCCCCTGCAGCATGGATGGACCAAAGGTGCATTTGCCAGCAGTCAACTTGGTGCTTTGCAGTAGATCTGCAAAGCACCAAGTAGATCACCAAGGATGACATACTTCCAATTTTTTGAACAATAATATAATTTTCCATTCCCTTGCCCTAAATTATATCCCTGAAACAAAAGAAAGCATGGAGTAACCACCAATGGTATGTGTGCACAAGCAAGGACTGTGAATTCTGTCTGGTCTTGATATTAAAAATCAATTTATGGGCTCAGAATATTTCACATTTCTTTTGCCACTGTCTTTCGCTGAATCCCAGACTTCAAATTAAAAGAAGACAAAACAAACCCAAAGTGGATCCCGCAAGCCAGACCTCTGCCTATCTCTACTCTGCAATGCCTCACTAGACAGACTCCATGTATGTTGAGGCCGCACTTTGCTCATTTTATCTTAGTAAGGGATAACTGTGATTCAGGATGGTTCCTGATTGTTGAAATACAGGCACAGAAGTCACTCAGTATTAACCAGACTTAGAGTGGTTGTGGGTCTAAAACAACAACAACAAAACCCCACAAAACCAGGCGTTCATCATCATAACTTTACTTTCACTATCTTAGTTCCCACTCCTGTTATATGTTTTGCGTAAATATGCTTCTTGATCAAGCAAAATTGTATCTCCCGCATCCTGGGCTTATCTAAGCATACTAGTGTCTATGACACTGGATGGTGAAAAAGTGGAAACAGGATCTTACACATTACTTTGATGGGCTTTGATAACCAATCACTAGAGTTTATCACGTCCAACCTAATCAAGGTAGAAGCTGAGAAAAACAGTTAACACTATGACTCTAACTGGAAGTTGTGTCACAGCAACTGGACTTCTTTCTTGTTAGATTGAAATATTTCACTGCTCATCCAAGTAGCTTCTTCAGTCTGAGGAGAGTTGGTGGAAGACCCCTGATATATCCTCCATGTTGGTTTCATGGTCTGAACAGTGTGTAAGAAGGACAAAGGACTGGGGGTGAGGAATAATCCCACTTGATAAATGGGAGACAGGTTGTATCTAAAGACATACATATGCATACAGAATATCCCTCACTCAACAGGGGTGGAGGTCTTAAATACAATCTATCTCCTATTTCTCATGCTGCCCTTTCATCGATTCCCAGAAAGACTAGGACAACACACACCAGAAAGATCACTGTTAACATCTGCTAACCACCCATCATGGGTAGAGAAGGACTGCAGAAGTGGGATTATCCCTCACCCCCAGTCCTTTTTCCTTCTAAAAAGCCTATTCAGACCAGGGGGAAGTGAAACCAATGTGGAGGATGTATCAGGGATCTCCTGCCAACTCTCCCCAGACTGAAGAAGCTACTTGGATGAGCAGCAAAACATTTCAACCTAACAAGAAAGAAGTCCAGTTGCCATTACTCAACTCCCAGATAACCTCACCTGGATGACTGAGAATCTTCACAGATACTATGAGCCGAAGCACAAGAGTGGGCGGACAACCATTTCAGGCTGGAGCATTCTACAAAAGGCTGCTAAGAGGTTTGAAGCTGATAAGCAAAGGCTAGTGGAGAAATTGCTTAGTGTTGCTTAGTGACTACTCCTGCTTGGTGTGTACTTAATTCCCATCTGCTATACCTCTGCCTTTGCAAGCAGCTTAGTAGAAGCATTGCAGCAAGCCTCCAAAGAGGTAAATACATATATTACCCTGTTGTGAAAGCAACAAAGAGTTATGTGGCACCTAAAAGACAAACAATTTTGTTATAGCTCATAGCAAAACAAAGTTAGGTCTTCAAACTGCTATGGAACTTTTGGAGTGTGGCTGCACTACCCAGTTACGGTAAAATATTGCAGCACCACTTTAACAATAATGACTCCATCTCACAATATTCTGGGACCTGTAGTTTGCTGAGGCTCTTAGAATTCTCTACTAGGGTGTTCAAGTGAACTCCCCTGAACTACAGTTATCTTACCTCAGCTAAGTACCTCACAAAACACAGATCCCAGTGTTCCATAGGATGGAAACACAGCAAATGGCATCAAATTCATACAACTATGTCATGCTGAGACACTTTTTAAGAGTAAGCAGTGACATTACTCTACCTGCTCCAAGCATGGGCTGTCACTGCTTACATTGAAGCTGGGAAGACAATTTGATCAAGCACACACCATACTGATTTTCTTACATGTGTTCAAGGGAATACTCTATGGACCATGACAGTTGTAGTGCAGCAGAAACAGCACACAATGTGCTCACGTAAGACTCTAGGTAAGTCCCTGCCATGTCCAGCTAGGGTTAGGAAAGACTGTGGACTGAGATCTTGGACAGCCATTGCCGGTCACTCTGGGCAATTCTGAGCATGGCTTTAATGATATAGCCGGTTATGAAGCATCTTCCTCTGTTCATAGGTCACAATAGGTACGGCCAGGTCAGGCATAATAATAACCATGCCACCTGTTATAAAAATGTTGTCAGGCAACCAAACCATGCAAAAACAATACTGGTGTACAGAGAACAAAAACCAATATAAAATATTGTGTCACATTTAAGATTAAAACATTTATTCCAAATTCCGATATGTAGTGTTGTGGATTATAATCTATTTCTTCAAGCATTAACAAATTTATTACTTTTAAAGGTACTCCAATACTTTTACCTAACACAGATATCCCTCTCAAAATCATATTACTGAATTTATGACAGCCCACAATTCACTTAGAATAAATCCTTGTATGTCCTCTTGCCTGTACTAGCCAGTGAATATGCCAGCTGCTGCAACCACAACACTAGCTCTTTATTTTCATTACTGTTGTATTGCAGATGTGTGCTCTCTGCTTTCTTTTCATACTTTACCTCCTCTGCATGGCAGGTTATCTGAAACAGTTGTAAATTAATTGACCCTTCCTACATTTTGATGCAGGTGTAAAGGTACCAATTGTGCTCAAAATCAGCTTTAGTTGGTGGAGTAAGGCATCTTCACAGGGTGTTGCTTTTTTGAATGTTCTAAGACACAGAAACCTCTGAAATACCAACAGGGTCATTTGCTGGCTCCCAAAGACATTATGCCCATAATAACAATGATGTGTTTTATGCCATGGAGAAGATTTTGGGATAATTATCAAAGGGATCATTTCCACTTCAAGTTTAGCGGGAGGTGAATCTTGGTTGCCTTCCCTTTAAAAAAAAAATCCTCATATACAAAGAAATAAGACCCAATAATAAACATTTCTTTCAGAACAGGGGTGGCCAACTTGTGACATTTCAGATGTTGTTGGATTAGAACTCTCAGCATAGCCCTTGGTGGGGGAACATAGGGATTGCAGACCAGCAACACCTGGCAGAACACAAGTTGCCCACTCAGTTCAGATTGATTTGGAAGTGGGCATTTTATAGCGTGTGAGAAGCAGGGAAGAAACTGCAACTTCACCCATCTAAAATAATCAAGAGGAATAATGATAGGCAGGTTACATCTCTTATTACAGCTACAATCCTTTGTATTTTTTTCTTTTTCCTAGGAGTAAGCCCAATGAAAATTGTGGCTTACTTTCTGAATACTGATGCATAAGATTAAACTCCACCAGGAAAGAAGAGGAGCTACATTTTCCCTGCAGGAAGGAGGATCTGTGTGTATTATATTCCCTTCTGGAAGGAGGCATTTAAGAACATATGAAAGGTAAATTGCTCTGAGTCTGGCACACAGGAGGGAAGCAGGAAATGGTGTCTAGGCTAGAAATGAAGCTCTAATACAACACTGGGTGTGCATGTACATGTGTGTGTTTGTGTTCTTTGGGAATGAGGGAAGAATGTGACGTGTGTGCACTGGGGGGAGGCAGAGTGCTGTTAGTGCTGTCATTGGGTGTTGAAGGAACTGAACTGCATGTACCCTGGAAAAGACAAAATGGATTCCTAATGCGCAAGAATGCGCACAGGTACAACATATGTGTCCCCACATGGTAAGTGGAATTACACATCCTTGTATACTTTATAGGTGTTTGTGTGCTAATAGGATTACCACCTCCCCCCCCCCCGACTTCTCATGCTGTGAAAAGGATAACAGGCAGGGATTCAACAGGTGACACATTCCTCCAGACATGGACAAGTATTGATGGGGAAAGCTGCAATTCTAACTGCATAGCAGCTGTCAGTCACAAAAGCCCTGCCTGAATGGAGGAAAACAAACCGTGGCAACTCTGCCTATTTTTTTTCTTCATTGTGCCCCATTTGCCCAAGTCCGCCTACTGTTCGCCCTTAGAGGCAGGCTACCGTTTCTCATGAACCCAGATTTAGAAACAGCGACGTTCTAGTCCAAATGCAACAGAGGGACCGTCTGCTTCTTTAAAAAGCACTAGACGAGGCGGAGGTTCCTCTGGTCTTGCTTCTTCCCTCGCTGGGTTCCAGGGTGGGATGGTCAGGGGAGGGGGAGAGGCACCTGTCGGATGATGCCCTGCTTCAAAGGAATCGATGACAAGAGCAAGGCGCGCGCGGTGTGTGTGTGTGTGTGTGTGTGTCCAGAGCAAGGCGCGCGCGTGCGTGCGTGCGTGCGTGCGTGTGTGTGTGTTCCTACACGTATCCTCTGGCATTCGCTGATCGTGCGCATTCTAGGCCAGCGAGAAAACAGCGCGACCGAAGACACTAGACAACAACCCTGCGATCCACAGCCGGGTTACGGCGCAGCACTTGTTTAAGCCGGTCTCCTGCCGTAGAACGACGCTTCGTTAGCGTCTCCACTTGGGTCGCTTCTTTTGGGCAGTAGCCGAAGCAAGAAAGGGCCCCTGAACGCGCGAACGACGGTCCGGGATGCCCGGAAGCCACACCGCGTCGCGTGTCACCGATCCATCGGCCGATCGCCAGCCCGGCTCCGGTCCGGCGACATGCTTGCCCTCGTTGTGGCCCAAGCCATGGGACTGGTGGGGGTGGGGGTGCACGCAGGGGCTATGAAGGCCGGGGAGAAGGCGGCTGGAGGAGGGACGGGGGCGATCTGTCTTCTTCGCCCCTTTGAGGAGCGCGCGATTTGCGGAATTCACGGGGGAAAAAGTTACAAGTTCAGAGCTCCGAGAGGAGCGGCGCGGCTCGAAAGCACGTGGCTAGGAAGCGATTGATCTCTCTCTCCCTCTCTCTCCCCTCTCCCCTAATCCGCGCCCC